CTGCATGTTCAAACTCGGTAGCTAAGTGAAGTACATCTCCTCAGAGTAGATGCCGGCAGAATTGTCAACAATACCTTCTGTCTAAATTATGGCTTGTGCTTTGGATGTAGGACTGGGGTCATGCAACAGTGTCTTGGGGATAAATATGATCTCACCTATACCTACCTAGTAAATTTATATTTTCCTTGAAATTACAGAAATTTGCTTTTTCTGAAGTAATATGGAAGTTGTTGGTCACAAGTTTGTATTGTATTACAATACTAAACACGTAAGTGGCTACTGTTGGGTGGCTGAGAGGGAGATTGAGACTGGAGTTTGTAGTCTCGAGTTTTGAATATAACTTATTAAATTGAATGCTGTATAAAAAAGCATTTGTACAGTTTGTAGTTGAGTAACTTTTTTTTTAAAAGATTTTATGAGCAGGAATTTGGTCTATGATAAATGCATCAAATTCCATTTATGGTCTGAATAGCCACTACATTTTTAAAACAAAGCTGAATGTAGGTATGACCAATAATATAAGAAACAAAATACTGGCAGTTCCCTGGGCAAATCAATATCCAAAGTTTATTCCATTGCCGGTGACCTCTTAATGCAGACATTCACTTTTCTACAGTTTGTTTTAAACTAGTGCCACTGACTTAAGCGGTCACTAGACAGCAGCTTTATTCAGGACATTTCTTTGGGGAAGTCTGCATAAAGTTGGTGCTGCACTGGCCTGGCACCCCTTGCCTCTTAGCAGACAAACAGTCGGACCCAAATGGACACTGCCACCACACTAGTTCTCTTCTGTATTTGGTGGTAAAATAATTTTAAAATAAAAGTGGTTTTATTAGAAAAATGTTTGTCCTTATTTATTTTGCTTAGTTTTTAAGTCATGAAAAATTTCAGGCTATGTTAATTCCTGGGAGATGGTGTTCCCTCTGAGCTGGCGGGCAAGCGTGGGCTGTAGAAGTGCCCACCACCTTGCCGAAAGGTAAGATATGCCTGGGTTGGTGGATGGCAGCTCCTATTTTAAAGCTAATCAGTAACAGGGAGTGCCAGAAATTGAACCACCAGGCTCAAGGTGTTGAGTTCTCTTGGGTGGCATCTGCACCTTATGGGAAGATGAGTTCTGACTGCATCGTGTCTGTAAAAAGATGTCTGCTCTTTTCAAAAAGGCAGCTTATTACTAGGCTATTTCTGTAGAGTATTATGCCACTGATGTGAGAAGGGTATTTCTCTTTAAAACTCACTGGTAGATACGGTGGGGTTTTTTGTTTTTTTTTTAAATTTTCAAAAGAAATGAAGGTTTCCAAGTGGAGTGCTACAAATCATTTAATAATCAGGATGTTACCACAAAATGAAGTTTTTATTTTTCCAGTATTTTAGATACCTTCTTCTGAAGGTAAGTGTAATTTTTAGTACTGGATATTAAAAAAAAAAACAGCGAAACTTTTTTAAAAACCAAATTAATGTCCATCATTACACAGTATAGGTGTATAGCAGCTATCAGAAAAGCAGAAGCTTTAGTTTGTAGGAAGTGATTTGATTGCAATTACTCAATTTTGTACCTGGTGCTGCAGGTGGATCCAGGCAGTGGAAGGGGGACTTGGCAGCTGGATCCCACAGTGCAGACAGAAACGGCCCACATCTTGTTACTAGTGACTTTGAAGCATGGGTGTCCAGCAGAAGGATGACTGGGGAACTGGAGACACCCTAGAAATCTGAGCTGATGCTTCATCCCAAAGGGGTGAACAAAAGCTAAACATCATGTTGCTCTCCAGAATTGCACTAGTCAGCATCATCCAGGTGGGAGGTGGGGTTACTGTGTTACCTACCCGTTTCTGCTCTAAAGTCATAAACACTTGAAAATCATCAGAGTCTGATGACTTGTGAACAGCTGACTAGACTCAATGCCTGTAGACTTGCATGCACCGAGGAAGTGGCAGAGAGGCTAGAACTGTTCCAGAGCAAGCTGAAAGGAGCAGCTTTTTGTTTTTACCTAAAGTTAGCCCTTTGGTGCACTGAGATCTAAATGGCTGCTGACATGCTGTGAATTTATAGATGGCAGCTAATGCTGCCTTAGGTTTCTGGCACAGGATGTTTTTATAAACTTGCTGCTTAATAGTTTACCAAGTCATGTATGGCTGATTCTCTGTGGGCAAATTTGATTGTTAGCTGTCTGCAAAGTGGGTCCACTCTCCACCGATCTCCCAGGAGACAAAGAACTAGATCTCTATCTGCTGTAGACTAGCACTCTTTACCGATTTTGACATAGGGTCTCATTAAACTGTTCTCTTGATCCTGCTGCCTCAGTCTCCCAGATAGCTGGAATAGTGGCATGTGCCACTACACTTGGTTATTCATGAGCTTTATAGTTTTACATTCAGCTCCTTGCTGTTAGCTAGTAATCATGTAGGTTTCCAACCATCAATATGTACTTAACAGCCACAACACCTGTTGTACACACTCCTTTTATTAACTGCAGCTTTTTAAAAATTCTCTAATACATTACTGCAGTTTCCCTTCCCTCCTCCCAGTCCCTCTCCCTAGCCTCCCCTCTTCCCCAGATCCACTGCACCTTTCCCTCCAGAAAAGAACAGGCTCCTAGGGTACCAACCAAATATGGCACAGGTTTTAAGATCAGGTCCACACCCACATACCAAGTCTGGAAGAGGGAAACCAGTAGGGAGAAAAGGGTCCCAAAAGCAAGCAAAAAAGCCCCCACTCCTGTTGTTAGTCCTAAAAGACCAACTATAACTTCTATGCAGAGCACCTAGCTTAGACCCATACAGATTGTATGTCACTTCAGTCTCTTGAGTCCCTATGAACTCTGGTTAGCTGAATGTGTGGGCCATGTTCTTGTGTCCTTGACTCCTCTGGCTCCTACAATCCTAACCCCTCGGATTCCCGGGCTCCACCTAATGTTTGCCTGTGGGTTTCTACATCTGCTATCAGTTGCTTGAGGCGGCTTTCTCTGATGATGATAATTATGTTAGGCTCTATGGTCTACAAAACTGCACAAGAATGTCTACTAAGGACAGGTCTCATGAATAGTTTCTTGAAGATGGGAACCCTATCTACAGTCATCTGGAACCCTTACAAAACACAATTTTACATATCTACATTTCAAAACATAAGATTATTTAAAAAGTACTTAATTCTTATTTCAATAATAGGATTAAAAGGCACATCATGAAAATATATTGTGAAAAGTTTATTTGCATTAATTATTAACTCCTTTTTTCCACCATCGTAAGAGATACATTTGTTCTTTGTGATCAGAGAAAAGACATTTTAGAATGGACAATCTGATTCTACTATTCATTAAAGAAAAATTGAAGTCTTAAAACAATCCAGTGCAACAATTTTCAGTAGTACAATCCAGTGCAATGATTTTCAGTAGTCCTCCCGTCTCCAGTGTAACCCAGCAAAATATTCACATGGTAAGAAATTCTAAGTCTCAAGCTGCAATTTACCATCATTTCCTACATGGTCTACAGAGCCAAGGAGCCTAAAGCAACAGTGGTCACTGCCCTTCAGAACCTCGGGCCTCATGACTGACAGCACAACACAGTCGCTGAGTCACTGGAGCAGCCATTGTCTGAATGTCAGGGACCAAACCTCCATTCAATCAAGCTAGCTCTGGGCTTCCCAATTCTTAAAATTATCTTACTGGAGGGATTAGGGCTTTGAATTTTTAACTCTTGATTATTTTCCTTATAAAAAGTAATAAAATATCAACATACGTACAAGGTGGAATCACTATGTGAGTGAGATGTAACCGTAGAAAGATAAATATCTGATGGCTGATACTTTGGGTTTTTAAATAAGTCAACCCTTCAATAAAAGTCTTTAAAATATTGGTAACAAGTTTAGACTATGGGTCACTCTATAACAACCTGACAGGTGCATCCTTGACATATTTCATCAAGACACATTTATAAACATTTAGCTAAGTCTTTAATAGAACATGATACATTATGACTTAGACATTAGTCTCCCTAATTTATTTTCATTCTTGGACCTTCAAACCAATTTTGTAATAAATATGAAAAATTTAAGTGTAAAAATGAAGAATGCATGATTTTAACACTTTGGAGACAGAAATTAGTAAATATTTTCCTGTGACTTAAAAAAAACTGTCAATCTTGCATGTTTCTGGACTTTTAAGCCTATAACAAATATATTGTAGCATATAAAATGTTTTTACCTTATTTTGAAAGCATTACATAGTTTTCCAAAATATGTGTTATTTTTTAAATTGACACCAATGCATCCATATCCCATTAAAAATAATCTGTCTTATGTGCACTTACTAGGAAGCAAGTTTAAAAATTTGGAATTTGTTTTAAAGTGCTGATACTTGAGAGAGGGCTAGATGTAGGCATGTTACCGTACCTATCAACAGAACAAGAACCTTTATACTCAAGTTTAGGAAAACAAAAACAAACAAACAGTTTCCACTGAAAAGGGTTCAGGTAAAACAAAGAGCACCACGATGAGCTGCAGGACATGCTGGGGGGGGGGGGGGGC